AAGAATTGAGACCATTCCATTAATAGAATTGTGGGTTTAGGTAAGTAGAATATGAATTAAGTTTGGTGCTGTGTAGTTTTGTGCATGTGAGTCCTGGTGTGACACTGTGGGATAAGCATTGGACTGCTAACCACAAGATCAGCTATTCAAAACCACCAGAAGTTCAAACCCACTCCTCGAAAACCCTTACAGGGTCCCTACAAGTCTGAACCAACTTGAAAGCACCTAACAATAACAACAACAAAGAACTGTTCTAAACACTTGGAGTCCTGGTGTGTCGCTGTAGAATAAGTGCTGGACCATAAGGTCAGTTTGAATCACAAGGTCAACGGTTCAATCCCAACAGCAATTTCTTGGAAACCCTATATAGGATCGTTATTAGTCAGAAACGACTCAACAACGCTTAACAACAACGTGTGTGTGTGATTTAGCTGAAAATTCACCGAGCAAAGTGGCTTTCCATCCAACAATTCAGACATGTTTTGTTTTGTGACCTTGATTGCAACCCTCACATGTAACTGCACTCTCCCGTTCCCTCCCTGTGTTTACTGTTTCCCTTCCTCCTGCTCTCCTATTCTTGGGCAAAGGCTGCCGCTTTGATCTTGTTCAGAGGATTTCATACATTGGTCACTTTTTAGGCCTGTCAGGTATTTGGCTGAAAGTTGAGCCATGGATGCGTTAGTTCCAGACTTGAAGGGTGACTAAGGACCTTCAAGAGGTTCTACCAGTCTCTAGCCAATCGGTAAGCCTGGTCTTCATTATGATTTTAGATTTGTTTGCACAGTTTTCTCCCTTCTGTCCAGAACCTTCCACTGTGACGCCACACAGAATGGTCGGTGGTGATGGCCAGGCACCATCTAGTTCTAAAGGTCTCAGGGTCGTGAGGTTGTGCTTCACGTGGTCTAGGTCCCTTATAATTTCATTCTTAGTGTTAATCACCAGCATTGAGTGAAAGAGGAAACTCCAGAAAAGTCTTCTGAAATAAAAATTTTCCCTAAAGTTACATAAAAGGCAACTATCTAAATATATCTTTTTTAAATGTTTTATTTGTGTATTGTGTGATAGTTTACATGGGAGAACATTAGTTTTACAGTCATTCTATCATACATCATTTCATGGCCATAGTTACCATCCCGTCCATACATTATCACCCAACCAAAGGGTATACCCTGCAAGCTTGCCCGCCCCCACGGTCCTCAGCACACAGTCCCTTTCCCTCTCTGGATCTCAAGTCCTCAGCCACTTCATCTTTTCACGTCATCTTCTCTGCCTCCATCTCAGGTCTCACTGCTTCTCTGGGTAGGGTCCCACTCTCTGTCCTTCTCCATTGATGGTCCCAGGGCCCTCCGCTCCTAGACTGGAAAGTTAATCACTCCCCTCCTTGCTATAAAATGTCTACCTTTACATTTCCGACCCTAACAATCAGTCCTGATAACAATTATTCACCCTTGCATCACAAGAGACCCATCTGCATTTCATTTCATCAGCCTTTCCTAGACAGGTTGGATACTACTCACTGGAGACTCTACCTTCCCCCATGCCCTCTGGATCTAGGTTCCCTCTTGAAAGCTTGTAAGCCAGTCACTTCTTACCTTTGTATCCCTCCCCCCCATTTTGGGTAGCCAATGTCTAAGTTGCCCATCTCTGTCTACTCTTTGTGTGGAGGGGGTGGGAATAATTCTTGCAGCAGGGATTAGTTTCCTCTTTTGAGCTACTGTATTTATAGGTGTAAGTCAAGTTTATCAAATTGTATCAGATGACTCCTTTTCCCTCTTCTTTCTTCTTCGTGTTGAGCTCTGTTCATCTAGTCATTGAAGCCAGGTCAAGTGGGTATCATCTGCAAGTGTGGGTGTTCTTGCGTCTGTCCGCCCTCTTCTTATAAGCTGGCTGCTTCACTCTCCACTCTAGTCCTTTGTGGCTGTGTCATTGACTCTGAGCCCATGAGTCCCCAAGTCTTGCCTCACTGCTGGCCGACCAGGGCTCCACCCGGGTTCACAGTAGTCTGCTGAACGATGCAGGGCTTAGCTCACCGCTTCATTGATGTTCTTCAGTCACTTCCCCTTATGGGTGATGTGCATGGTCGCCAATTAGAGCGTGTATTTCCATTGCGTCTTAGTCTTGGAAGAGGAATTGCACTGAGAGGACCTGACCACTTGCCTTGATGTCTCCTGGGCAAGCAACTTGCTTGTTCTTGTTAACAGTCAGACTGCCCTTATTGTTTTGTATTTTTCCTGTAGGTCAACTATGTAAATATTGACCAAACCTTACAAGGTCTACTTTAGTTTGTGTTAAACTTGTGTCCTATACAATGAAAACAAGGACTGTCTTTCAGAAGCAAGTTCAGTTGGCTTCAGTAAAGGATATTTATTTCCTGAAGCTAGTTCCAGCAATTTCACACCAGTCAGGTGGGACAAGAACCTGGTTCCTGACTCAGTGCAGGTGAACACCCCTACTCCACCCCTACTTGTCCACCCTGCCTTCCCTACCCGTCGGTCACAGGCCCTGCCTGTCTCTCCAGAGGAGATTCAGTGCTCAAGGTTAGTAAGTTTCTAAGTAGTTCCATTGGGCCAGCGAATTCAGCTGAGAAAAGTAAAATATGTGTTAAAAAAATACCAAGGGGAGGGGAAGAGACACGAGACTCTCCTAGTCCTTGGGGTTTGAGGCTGGGAAGATGTATTTTTATACCAGAGAATTTCAAGTCCTACTTTGTAAGATGAACCATCCCTCACTCATAAACTCCAGGCCTTGGGTACAGCACCCTGCCCAGATCCCTCAGACCTCAGGTAGACACCCAGATGTGTGTGTGTGTGTGTGTGTGTGCTTCTTCAGAGTCCCAGGACCGAGCATCCATGTCATCCTCAAAAGAGGCCAATGAAGGACACCCGGCTCCACTCCTCTGTCACCATGTGACTATGGGGAGGGTGGGGGAGGGGATATAGGGGCCCTTCTGGCCCTTTCTGCCCACACTATCTTGACCCTGCCCTTGGGCTGAGATGTCTTTGCATAGGCGGAGAGAGCACTACACTTCTGACTCCGGTTCTGACACCCCTCCCTCCCCCTTTCTCTTCTCAGCAGACCACCGTGCTGCCTCCTCAGAGAGAAGATGGACCCCCTGCAGGCCCCTCTGGGAGATCGCTGCCAGCACATCCTCTTCAAAGAGCCCAGATGACCCACCCTGCCCACCCTGCCCTCGCTGAACCTTTCCTTTCACCATGGTTCACACTCCGGGGCCCATCCCTGCCCCTCTCAGAGCTGGAGGTGGTGGAAAGAGACAGATGCTAAAAGTTGGCCATGCATTTATCATTCATCATAATTAACATGTCAGAGAAACCCATCCATTTTGATGTGCAAGTCCATGGTTTTTAGTACACATACTCACAGGGCTGTGCAATCATCACTATTTTCTCATTTTTGAACAATCCTCCCCTCAAAGAAACCCATATTCATCGGCAGTCACTCGTCCTTTTCCCTAAATACACACCATCCGTTTAATGTCTGTTTAGATTGGCCGATTGAGGGTGCTGTAACTTGGTTTCAAGGTTCATGCCCATTGTAGCATCAGAACTTGATTCCTTTGTATGATGGTTCAGTATTACTCCATCGTGTGACTGGACCACATTGGGTTTATCCACTCACCTGTGGGCTTTTCCCACTCTTTGCTTATTGTGAATAATACTATGAACAGTTGTGTACACGTTTTTGTGCGGACATGTTTTCAATTCTCCAGTATATACCTAGGAGTGGAACTGCTTGACCAGATGGTGAATCTGTGTTTTACTTTCTAAAGAACTCCCAGACTGTTTGCCAAAGTGGCTGCAGCAGTAATGTGTGAGGCTTCCATTTCTGCAAATCCCCCACAATACTTCTTGCTGTCCTTTTTTTTACCATAGCCATCCTAGTGAATGTCAAGTGACATTTTGGGGGTTTCAAAATGCATCTCCGCAGCACTCATGGTGTTTGGGTAACCACACATTCAGACAACCAGCCTCCATGTTGTCCTGAGCTGGTTGGCTGAGGGTCCTGGGGCACCCCAGAGAGATTCACTAGGGCCACAGCAGGGCCCTTGGCTGTTGCCCATGAAGAATAAGCCACAACTACAACTTACAGGAAACCGAAGTGCTGGCCATAAAGAGAACAGCAGGTGAGAAGTTGTGTAAGATCTCCAAGGAGGCCAGTGTTAGGGATGTGTGGGAAACTGGTTTCAAAGTATGACCATTCTGAATTTCAAAGGTGACACCCACAACAATGGCAGAGAGCCAGAGACGGACAGAATCTGGGACTGGCCAGTCATGGCACGCTGAGAACAGACGCACATCTGGACCTGTGTGGGTTGCTTGGGTAGACAAACAGCAAAGGAGGCTTCGATTTCTTCATTATGTGAAGCCAACCCCAACTAACCAGTTGGTGTGGGAGCAGGCTCCATCTCTGATCTAAGGAAAAGCAAACCAAGCAGCTGATGGTCCACAGGTAATGAAGGACTCCAAGATGACTTGCAGAACCGGATGGGCAGCCTGGGTCCTTCCCCTCGCAGGATCCCAGCCCATCACAAGACCAAGACCAAGGCGGAGGCGGAAGGCAGGCGCCTGGTACACCAGTTACGTTCCTCTGCCCCACCTCCTGTCTCCCCCTGTGTGCCACATTACCCACAACCTCCGCCCCCTTTCGCCGTCATCCATACATCCTCCTTTCAGTAAACCTGTAGGTACACCTGTCCTCTCCCCCACCCAGTGTGCCGCAGGTACCCCGCTCCCCAGGGTGTGTGCACTCTAGCACCCTCCTAGGTTTAGGGATCTAGCGGAGGGCCCCTCGGACGGGTCTCCGGAGTGTGGGTGGCCTTGCTCCAGCCCAGGAATTCATTTATAGTTTTTAATTGCTGGGCACGTTTCCAACGTCATTGCCTGGAGCCTTTTGAGCCCTCATGAATATTCCATTCGGGAGACATTGGCTTTCCTAGTCCCGGCCGCCTGCCTCTTTGGCGCTCGTAGTAACTCCGGGACGCCATGGACACGCGGGCGCTGGACCCCGCAGCGAGGCTGCTCTGGGACGCAGTGAGTGGAGACCCCTCTTACCCGATTCCCCCTATCCCAGTCCTTGCCCCGCCCCCGCGTGCGACCGCCCCTCAAAACGGATCTAGGGAGTGCGGCCTGAGGGTCACCTGGCGCGGGCGCGCTCACGTCCCCTCTGTTCATTGCTGGGACAGACCCAGGTTCCGCCCAGACGCACCACTGCGGGAGGGGGGCGGAAGGACGGGGCTCGGAGGGAACAGATTTGGGGCCCCATCCCCCTGAAGGGCCGAGAATCCCTTTCACCCAACAGCTTGCCTCCCTGTTGATGATGAGCAAGGGGTGGGGACAGGGGGTGCACTGGGCGTTCTGCCCCGGGGAGACTGGACCAAAAGGACGACCCAGGGGTTTCGGGGTGACTCAGCAAGCTCCCCAACCAATGTCTACAAGTGTAGCCGAGGAGACACCTCCTAGGGTCTAGCTCCCCAGGTGACTGAAGGCTTTTCTCCTATTAGCTCCGGGCGGAGTTTCGTTTTAGCAGAGACGTCGTATTGTGTGAAGCAGTGTCGGGCTTGTTTATTCGTGTACGGATCATCAAGATTCAGTTCGCCTTATATTATGTGTCTGTTACATGGCTTGTAAAATGTCCTACATCAACAGTCAATTGTAGGATTCGTATTTTTAAACCTTTCTTATTGTGAATTGAATGAAGGTTTCCAGAACCGAGCAGCAGCCCCACATCCAACAAATGCTCCACTTGGCGTCGTTACACCGATTGTACCGTCAGTCAAGAGCATTCACCTCTGCTCACCTGAACTCTCGCACGTCTCCGTGTCTTCCACTACCTTCGTCTTACCTGCGCCGTCCTCCCTCGTGTATATTGTTTTCCCCAAGTTAACGTGTGTCCACCCTCTACCCCTAACCTGATGTAGAGCTGAGGGTTAATAAGCTGGGCTGCAAAGTCGATTTGAACCGCAAGATGGGCAGTTCAAGCTCATCAGCTGCTCCTTGGACACCCTAGGGTCGCTATGGGTCGGACAACAACACCCTCTCTACGGAGTGAATAATTTCCCCTTCCCTCCCATCTCTGGTAATGTTTCTTTTATCAAGAAAACCCTTTCTTAACTTTTTATAACAGGTTGTTGTTGTTAAGTGCCATCGAGTCGATTCCGACCCATAGCTACGCTGTATAGCATTGCAGCTGATGAGTTTGAACCACCCACCTTGCAGTTCAAACAGCTTTGCAGTCTGACGCATTACCCACTGCGCCACATCGGTGGTGGTGGTGGTGGTTATGTGCCGTGGAGTCAAATCCCACACATAGTGACCCTGTACAGAGTTTCCTAGGATGTAAATCGTTACGGGAGCAGAAAGCCTCATCTTTCTCTCATGGAATGGCTGGCTGGTAGTTTCGAACTGCTGGCCTTGAGGTTTGCCAGCCCAATTCACCAGTAGTCTCATACAGTATCTGTCCTTTCATGATTGTTTTTTATTTGTTTTTTTCCAGGCAGAAAATTTATTTCAAGAACTTCAAGAACATTTTCAAGCCCTGACTACAACATTAAACTTCAGAAATATCCTTTGCTTGTAGCTAATACTGTGATGTTTTAGCTGTTGAATGAAGTTAGAGTACCCTTTGCTGTCTGCTATCTAGTGGACAGTTGCTTCCTTAGGACTTCGCAGTATTCATACCTGCATTTGGATTTGGCATCTCCACTCACCTGAGCCTGACTTCTTTTTGGCAAACAATAGAAGACATCTGGATGGCAAGTGTAAAATGCAAGCAAACCAACATACAACCCCACCAAATGGAGCTTTTCCAAATGTCCTAAATCTGGGAGATCTGCCTTATAATGCTGTTGTTGAGAAGTGACTCTGCATAGGGTTTTCACGGAGCAGCGGGTGGGTTTGAACTGCCGACCTTGTGGTTCGCAGTCCAGTGCTGATCCCACAGTGCCACACTAGGAGTCCCTGAACTCTAATCTTCGCCATATTTTCTAATAATAGTTAGAAATCTATAAATATAAAAGTGAAGATCCCCAACAAAGAATACTAGCTATGCGTCTCCCCGACCACTGTTTTACCTTTAGCAACTCACGTTTGTCTTAGAGACTTGAAATCAAACAGAATTAGAATAGAATGTTTACAGTTTGAGCAAATCCAGATACAACATAAACATCCAATCTGAGTTAATTCTATACCACTAAAAGTTTCCTTAAAACTGTGTGTGACACACTGTTAGGAGACATTGAACTTCTAAGGGGAATGAAAAAGTTTGGAAATGGTTAATTGAACATATTTAATATCACTGAAATGTACATATAAAGATAGTTGAAATGACAAAGATTTTACTACCTAGATATTTACCAAAAAATAAGCAAACCCATGACATTAAAACTGTACATCAATTGTGGGATGCAGCTTATGTTCAAAACATTCAAAATGGACCTCTGAGAATCAAGTAATAAGGGGTCATTCATATAAATGAAAAACACAAAACAAAACAGTCCTCATTGTTTTTCTTGAAAATCGGTATATTTGCATATAAGCCATTTATTTGCAACTTCTGATACTGCAGATGTGGCCCCATAGTGTGGAAAGATTCTGAAGTGTAATCAATTTAAACAATAGCAAAGTTGGTTTAAAAAATAATTTCCATTATAGTTACATGGTGGTTCTGTGCCGTGAAGTCAGTTCCGACTCATAGCGACCCTGTACAGGCTTTCTGAGGCTGTAAATCTTTATGGGAGCAGAAAGCCTCATCTTTCTCCAGCAACAGCTGGTAGTTTCAAACTGCTGACCTTATGGTTTGCAGCTCGATTCCTAACCACTACGCTACCAGAGCTCCTGATTATAGTTAGATCGTCATTAGAATTTGGCTAAAACTTACCCTATCTCACATCCCTTACGTTGTGTCCAGCGTTACAGCACTAACACGTCCTCACATTGAACTCTCAAGGTGAAAGCCTAAATACGTTCTTGTTACGTGCCGTTGAGTCGATTCCGACCCATAACAACCCTGTATAGGGTTTCCAAGGAGCAACTGGTGAGCTTGAACTGCCAACCTTGTAGTTCAAACCTACTTTGCCATCCAGTGCATTAACCCACAGCACCACATCAGGACTCCAAAGCCTAAATATGCACAAGAAAAAAACAAAACAAAGCCCTCAGAGGAAGTTATCAATTTGCACAGGCATCTTTGATTTCTTCCATTTAAAAACTACAATTTGTTTACATCATCTTTTCTGGCCTGGAGTTTGTTTTTGTTAGGGTCAGCAGGAGCATGGACAGGGACAGTTTAGGGCTCTGTACCAAGTGAGTTCTACTGGTTCATAATCCTTATCATTATACTGGAAGAAATGGGGAATCGTATTGAGGATTTACAGAAGAATGTAAATGACTTAATGGTACAAGCTGGGATCCAAAGTCCTGCTAAAGAACAAGTGGTAAGATCATTGCAGTGACACCAAATCTGTTTATCTTTCCCATGTCTTCTGATTATATTCATCTTGCAAAATTCAATCCAATGTTTGTTCGGTGGTGGTGGCTATGTGCCGTGCAGTCGGTTCCGACTCATAGCGACCCTGTACAGGGTTTCTAAGGCTGTACATCTTTACAGGAGCAGAAAGCCTCATCTTTCTCCTGCGGAACTGCTGGTAGTTTCGAACTGCTGACCTTGCGGTTCACAGCCCGATTCATAACCACTATGCTACCAGAGCTCCAGAGCTCCTTAGTATTTGTTTACGAGGGAAATTACTTTCCTGTATTACATGAAATTTTCAGGAATAAAAAGGTACTTGTTTTGTTTGCTTGTTAAGTGCTGTCTAGTCAATTCTAACTCATAGTGACCCTGTAGGGTTTCCAAGGAGCAGCTGGTGGGTTTGAACTGCTGACCTTGTGATTCGCAGTCTAGGGTTTATCCTACAGTGCCACAGCAGGAGTTTACAAAGTCTATTTTCTAAATTAGGGGTGGGGAACCTTTTTTCTGCCAAGGGCCATTTGGATATCTATGACATCATCCGCAGGCCATACAAAATTATCGACTTAAAAATTTGCCTGCTATAATTTGATAGCTAGAGCTGCGGTTGCCTAGGCAGGACCACACCAAATGATTTTCCCCACCCCTGTTCTAAATAGACTACAACAAACACTGTCGTGGTATCTTAAGAGTCACATCTTTTTAAATGAAAACACTATTTAGAAGTTTAGAAACAAAATTTAGAAATCAAATTTTATTCGTCCTTTTGATCCCCACCCACCAAGTTGTTAAGTGCCATTAGTCAATTCCAGCTCACAGAGACCCTGTATAGGTTTCCTGAGGAGCAGCTGGTGAGTTTGAACCACCGACCTTGTGGTTCAAACGTTTTGGTCCAGTGTATTATCCCACAGAGCCATACCAGGACTCCTTCTCCACAAGTTAGTCTTCAATTAAAGTACAGGCTCAGAGTGAATTGGAGATTTGGGATTTTAACTCATGCTCTGAGATAATTTAAAAAAGTCTTATGTACATTAATTTCTGAATATATTCCATGAGTTGTCCTGAGGACCCCACCCCCCAGCCCTCATGCAACAAAATCTTATCTTTTCCAATGGAATTTCAGATTTTTTTTTTTTTTTTGAGGATAAATTAAATACTGTTTCAGGATCTAGAGTGGATATGTGTCCATGTACACTTATGGAGATACACAATTATTGAAATACTAAGTCTAGTATTATGAAGGAGCATTGTCACTGTAAAATAAACACTGAACTTCTAATCACAGGTCAGTGGCTCGAGACACCAGCCACTCCCTGAGAGAAAGATGAGGCTTTCTGCTCCCATAAAGATTTACGGCGTCAGAAACCCTATACAGGCTTGCTATGAGCTGGAATCAATTCAATGTCACTTAACAACAATATAGCATTCGGAAGTCCTGGTGTGGCTCTGTAGGATAAGCACTGGACTGCTAACTGCAAGACTGGCAGTTCAAACCCACAAGATGCTCCTTAGAAACCCTATATGGAGTCGCTGTAAGTTGGAACTGGATGGCACTTACCAAAAACAATCTAGTATTCTCATCTGTCCATTTGTCTTACTATGGGAGCTTGCATGTTGCTGTGATTTGGGCATTTTAAATCCCACCAGGATCTACCATGGTGGACAGGTTTCAAATGAGCTTCCAGAGGAAGACAGACTACTTCTGAATGTTTAGTCACTGAAGACCTTATGAAGAGCCATGGAACACTGTCAGATAGCACCAGAATATTGACTATTGAAACATGAAGATGACCACCAGAATACTGTCAGATAGAGTGCCGGAAGATGAGTCCCTCAAATTGGAAGGCATTCAGAATACAGCTCTCCTCAAAGCAGAATTGACTTTGAGAACATCAATGGAGTAAAACTTTGGGACCTTCATTAGCTGATGGGGCACAACTCAAAATGAAGAGAAATAACTGTAAACATTCATTAGTAATCAGAACATGGAATGTACGAAGTATGAATCTAGGACAATTGGAAATTTAAAAAATGAAATGGAACTCATAAACATCGATACCCTAGGCCTTAGTGAGTGGAAATGGACTGGACTGCTATTGACCATTTTGAGTACGATGGTCACAAGGTTTACTACGTTGACAAATAGAATGACAAATAGAAGAGGAATGGCGCCATAATTGTTATCAAAAAGAACAACATCTGCCTTGAAGGACAAACGCTGTCTGTGATAGGATAATATCCATATGCCTACAAGGAAGACCATGATAATACAACTGCTATTCAAATGTACACACCAACCACTAAAGCCAGTGATGATGAAATTGAAGAAATCTATCAATTTCTTCAGTCTGAAATTGATCAAACATGCAGTCAAGACATATTGATAATTACTGGTGATTAGAATGGAAAGGTTAGAGATCACATGATAGAACTTTACAAGACCAATGACTTCTTCATTGCACATACCATTTTAAACAAAGTAAAAGATGACTGTACATATGGACCTCACCAGATGGAGTACACAGAAATCAAGTTGACTTCATCTGTGGAAAGAGATGGTGGAAAAACTCCATATCTATCATCAGCCAAAACAAGGCCAGGAGCAGACTGTGGAACAGGCTATCAATTACTCATATGCAAGTTCAGGCTGAAGATCAAGTAAATTGAATCAAGTCCATGAGGAGCCAAAATACGACATTGAACATGTCCCACCTGAATTTAGAGATCATCTGAAGAACAGATTTGATGCATTAGATACTAAAGACTGAAGACCAGAAGAGTTGTGGGATGACATCAAGAACATCATACAGGAAGAAAGCAAAAAAGGTCATTAAGAAGACAAGAAAGAAAGTAAAGACCAAATCTGATGTCAGAAGAGACTCTGAAATTTGATTTCCAGTATAGAAACGCTAAAGCAAATGGAAAAAATGAGGAGGTAGAAGAGCTCAATCGAAAATTTCAAAGAGCAGTTTGAGAAGACAAAGTCAACTAATATAACAAAATCTGCAAAGATCTTGAGTTAGAAAACCAAAAGGGAAGTACACACTCAGCATTTCTCAAGCTGAGAGACTGCAGAAAAAATTAAAACCTCGAATTACGCTATTGAAGGATCCCATTCTGCTCCCGTAGAGATTTACAGCCTCGGAAACCCTATGCAGGGTTGCTATGAGTCGGAATCGATTCCACAGCATATAACAATAACAACAACAACATGGGAGTCCTGGTGTGGTGCTGTGGGTTTATGTGCCAGACTAAAAACTGTTTGAACTGCAAGGTTGGCAGTTCAAGCTCACCAGCTGCTCCTCGGAAGCAGGGTCGTTATGGATTGGAACTGACTTGATAGCTCTTAACAACAACAATGGGCAAAATGGAGTCCTGGTGTGGCACTGTGGGTTAATGTGCTAGACTGCAAAGTCGGTATGATCTGCAAAGCCAGCAGTTCAAGCTCACCAGCCACTTCTCAGAAATCCTATACAGGGTCGATTGAATGATGCAGAAACATCAAAAGAAGATGGAAGGAATATACAGAGTCACTGTACCAAAAAGAAATGGTCAATGTTCAACCAATTCAAGAGGTAGCATATGAAAAATGATACTGAAGGAAGAAGTCTGAGGAGCACTGAAGGCATTAACAAAGAACAAGGATCTGGGAACTGATGGAATACAAACGGAAATCTTTCAACAAACTATTGAAGCACAGAAAGTACTCACTCATCTCTGCCAAGAGGATTTGGAAGACAACTACCTGGCCAATTGACTGGAAGAGATCCATATGTGTGCCCATTCCAAAGAGAAGTGACCCAACAGAATGTGGAAGTCATCAGATAATGTCATTAATATGTCATACAAGTTAAAAGATAATCCAAAAACAGCTGCAAGCATACATTGACAGAGAACTGCCAGAGGTTGAAGATGGATTCAGATGAGGACACAGAATGAGGTGTATCATTACTGATGTCAGATGGATCTTGGCTGAAAGCAGAAAATACCAGAAAGATGTTTGCCTGTGCTTTATTGACTATGCAAAGGCTTTCGATTGTATGGATCATGACAAGCTATGGACAACATTGCTGAGAATGAGTATTCCGGAACACTTAGTTGTGCTCATGAGGAACCTGTACATCATAGACCAAGAGGCAGTTGTTTGAACAGAACAAGGAAACACTAAATGGTTTTAAGTTAGCAAAGGTGTGTGCCAGGGTTGTATTCCTTCACCATACTTATTCAATCTGTATGCTGAGTAAATAATCCAAGAAGCTGGATTATATGAGGATAAATGTGATATCAGGAAGACTCATTACAAACTTGCTTGCTGAAAATGAAGACTTAAAATACTTAATGATGAAGGTCAAAGACCACAGCCTTCCATATGGGTTGCACCTCAATGTAAAGAAGGCAAAAATCCTCACCACTGGGCCAATAAACAACATCCATATAAATAGAGAAAAGATTGAAGTTGTCAAAGACTTCATTTTGTTCAGATAAACCATCACCACTCATGCAAACAGCAGTCAAGAAATTAAACAATGAATTGCACTAGACAAATCTGCTGCACAAGACCTCTTTAAAGTGTTGAAGAGCAAAGATGTCATTTTGAGGACTAAGGTGCTCCTGACCCAAGCTATGGTATTTTCAATAACCTCGTATGCGTGTGAAAGTTGGACAGTGAATAAGGAAGACCATAGAAAAAATGATGCATTTGAGTTATCGTGTTAGTGGGAAAAATTTAAAGTACCATGGACTGCCAAAAGAACTAACTGATCTGTGTTGGAAGAAATACAGCCAGAATGCTCCATGGAAGGCAGGATGGCCAGACTTTGTCTCTCATACTTCAGGTATGTTGTCACAAAGGACCAGTCTCTGGAGAAGTGGAGGATCAAAAAAAAAGAGAAAGACCCTCAACTTGATGTATCGGCACAGCGGCAGCCTCCAAGGGCTCAAACGTAGCAACGATTGTGAGGTTGGCGCAGGACTGGGCAGTGTTTT